CCCCCCCCCACAAAAGTCCCCCCCCTCCCCTGCCCACAAAAATTCCCTCCTCCCTCTCCCAAGAAGGTCTCCCCACCTCCTCCCAAGAAGGCGTCCCCGCCTCCCCCCAAGAAGGCGTCCCCACCTCCTCCAAGGAAGGCCTCGCCACCTCCTCCAAGGAAGGCCTCGCCACCTCCTCGCCACCTCCTCCAAGGAAGGCCTCGCCACCTCCTCCAAGGAAGGCGTCCCCACCTCCTCCAAGGAAGGCGTCCCCACCTCCTCCAAGGAAGGCCTCGCCACCTCCTCCAAGGAAGGCGTCCCCGCCTCCCCCCAAGAAGGCGTCCCCACCTCCTCCAAGGAAGGCCTCACCACCTCCTCCAAGGATGAACTGTCCCCACCCTCCTCCAACGGAACGGCGTCCCCACCTCCTCCAACGGAAGGCCTCGCCACCTCCTCCAAGGAAGGCGTCCCCGCCTCCCCCCAAGAAGGCGTCCCCACCTCCTCCAAGGAAGGCCTCACCACCTCCTCCAAGGATGAACTTCCCACCTCCACACAAGAAGGCAACAATGTCCCCATTCCCTTCAAAGTTGACTCTGCCACCGAAGCACACGTGATACTATCCACTGCTCTCTAGCGAGAATGCCCATACCGCTTGTGCAAGCTTTCGTGAATTCCATGTCCATTTGCTTGAGTGTGCCGCGGCTCCTCCGGCCGCCTTTGCGCAGGGTTTGTCATCCTCTTCACCACGCATAACCAGGTTGACCATGCCGATGAATGACTCTGTCGACAGTAGCCTTTGCCTATGATCAATAGATGGATCAAGTGCACCATTGAAATATCCCACCCCATGGTGCGGTGTAAGAGTATCAAGCTGACTGGTGGGATATTTGGGGCCCTGGGAGTTGGAGGGTTCGTCAAATCATACAGTAGCACGATGGGTGGTTACAAGGTGTACACTACTGCTCCTGGGACATCCCAGAGATTGAAAGGGCTGCCAGTATCAGCATCCCCAGTCTGTATCTGGTGCTGGATTTGTACGGGTATAGGTGGCTGGGACGTTCCTGGGAGCTGCTCTTTTGTGCAGATCAGCCACCAAGAATTGCATAGTAGCTGGACTTACAATGGGGGCAGAGCGCACAAGAACAGGAATTACTTAGCGCCACAGGAAAGGGTGCATCCCCCTTATATAAGGCAGTGGCCTCAAGATGTGGACTTCCTCATCGACCCCACAGTGCATGACTCAAGGCAGCACCTTCCCTTCATTTGCACCCTGTCACTGCCCAAGGTGGCCCATCCCCTCCACGCCAATCATCTTACATTTGTATCTATAAGCCTGCATGCAGCATGACGGCCAGAGCACCACTTGAAAGCATTGCATGCACCTGCCATAGATGGAGCCAGACACGCATTCATGCAGGCGCAGAAGAGGCAGCAACTGCACTCGTAGCAGGAGTCTTCCAGGAGACCACGAGGGTCCGTTGCGCTCCAGTGGTAGATCACTGAAATTTTGATCCATCCAAAAGGGGGGAGGCCAATGAAATGGCTTCCAAAATGGCCAACGGCTTGCTGACAGGGAGACTCAGCCAGAACATTCAACCGACAACACCACTCCTGCAAAGGCCATCCCAAGACTCCTTGGGGATCAGCATCTACTCCCACAACATACTCGAGCAGTGCCTCGTCACTCGAAGACTCCTACTTTGGTCCCATTTGTGGGTGTTGCATATACGCGATGGAGGGGTGTGCACTCCCTGAGTGGCTAGGTTGAGTGACAAACACCATCCCCTTCCATGCACCATCCCCCACCAGCCTTGCGTCAGAGACACAGCAGGGCAGCCCATCCCCTAGGTTGATGTGACCATGTGACAGGGATGGACTCGGCACGAGAGAAAAATGAATATTTGGGACAGGGGACTTTTGTACAAACAGGAATCGTTGAGGCAGTTGATGATGGCAAAAACAGGTCAGAAGTAAGCGCCAATTGGAGAACTCGAGATGCGGCATTGGTAGCTTCTGGCCATCAGCAGACTGTCTCTTGGAGTCGGCCCCTGTGTGTGCCAACCAAATGTGGTCCTTGGATTTCAACATCATCACTGCGCTGACGCTGCCCCCAGGAATAGCAGACAACTTGAGGTGTGTGGTGGTAATGTCAATCCGACATGACATGGACAAGCAACACGGGAATGGGCGTAACTTTGTCCTTTGGTCGGCCCTGAGCTTGGCCATGTGGGACTTGCCACTAGCCCCACAGCCTGGATCATGCGTCGGGTCGAACTGGCCTATGGCAGGCGATGGTTTCTTTCTTTCCCCGGGATCGCCGAACAGCAACAAAACGGTTTCGAGGGGACCACTGCATTGCACAGTTCCAAAGGTTTTGGCTTGGATCCTGCAAAGGATTCATGATGAAAGAATTGCCCTGACGAGGCCCTGAGTGCTTCTTCCTTGCGAGGCCCTCCCTGCGAAACCCCACCCCTCCTCCTCGTGGACGGCGACTCGCCACGCCCATGACGCTCAAAGCGAGCGTGAACGTGGTCCTGGGAGGCCATTGGGGCTCTGCAAAGCGACTGCTCCAGGCTGCGGAGCGAGGAGACGCCGCGACGGTCACCGAGGTGAGCCTCGCCTCGGAGGTTACGGGACCGGGCTCGCAGTGGCGCCCTGTCAGTGCCCCCAACGCGCAGTCCTCACCAGCCTGTGCCCGCCACTTGCCAGGTTCTCAATGCGCACCCTCAACTCGCTGCCTTCGGGGGCTTCAACTCCAGCAGCACCCCGCTCCACCGAGCCGCTGGTGAGTGGGTGTGTGTGGGTGTGTGGGGTTCAGACCACTGGCCACCAAAGGAAACCCGGCCGGTCGTCGCCCCCTCTCTTGCTGGTGTACGGGGCCATGTTGATGGCAGAGAGTGCATGGATGCCCTATCAGAGGTCCACCTGTGGAGTTGTTGCCGCCGTGCCGTCGCCCCCCCCCCCCCCCCCCTCCCTTCCGGCCCCTGTCCGAACCTTATCGACCCCCCCCCCCCTTCCCTCAATGAAAAAGCCGCCGGGCATGTCGCGGTCTGCCAAGCGGTGCTGGACACGCTGCACACGCGCGACGCTGGCCCCGCCCCCCCGACCGCCCTGCGGCGGGGAAGTGGTCGCGCCTGGCCGCCGCGCTGCTGGACGGGCGAGACGGCGCGAGCCAGACGCCGCTGATGGCGGCCTGCGCGCGCGGTCACGCGGGCGTGGCGGCCTACCTCCTCGCCGCCGGCGCCGACCCGACGCTGGTGGACTGGACCAACCTGCGCTCGGCGCTGCACCTGGCGGCGCTGGGGGGCCACGTGGCCACGCTGCGCCTGCTGTGCGACGAGGGCACGCGCTGGGCGCCGCGCGGCGGCGCCGGCCCGCGCCCGCCCGGCCCTCTGCGCGACACCGTGCTGCCGGACGCCCAGGTGGGGCAGGCCAAGTTCCTGGACCTGCGCTCCTACGGCGGCCTCACCCCCCTGCACTGCGCCGTGGTGACGGGGAGCCTGGAAGCGGTGCGCGTGCTGCTGGCCGCCGGCGCGGCCATCATGGTGCGCACCGACGGCGAGGCCTTTGTCGGCTCCGAGTTCCTGGTCCCGGGGTCCACGCCCCTGCACATGGCGGTGCTCATGGGCCACGCATCCATCGTCCATGCCCTGCTGCAGGTGTGGGCAGTTTCCTTGTGTGCTCTTTGAGTGGGTGGGTGTGGTGTGTGTGTGAGGGGCCCGGGGGGGGGGCCGGGGATTCGAAGGAGGATCCGCCTGTCTGCAGCGGCGCCCGCCTGGCGGGGGGTGCGCCACAAGGAAGCGCCGGCAATGGGCCTGACCTGGTGGAGGGGACAGGCAGCTTGTTCGACTCATGCCAGTGGGAGCCGTGGCCCGGCCCAATGGGCTGGCTGAGGCTCCAGACAACCCTCTTGGTGGTGCTGCAACAGGCCATGTGCATGAGCACCCCAATCCCTCCCATCCCATCATCCCCCCCCCCAAGCCCCCTCACACACACACACACACACACCACCCTGCCTTCAGGCGCACCAGCAGTTCATGGGGGCCATGGGTCAGACCCTGGACGCGCGGGGGCGGCGCCCCTGGGAGGGCTCCTCCCGCTCCGACATCCGCTCGGTGCGCAACAGCCTGCGGCGCCTGCCCTTCCACCTGGCACGCGAGCGCGGGCTGCCCGCGCTGCAGGCCCTGGTGGACCCCCGCGTGCCCATCGACGTGGCGCTGGACGCGTCGCGCGACTCCAAGGCCGGCATCGGCCCCAAGCGCCTGTCGACCCTCTGCGCCATGTGCCTGCAGGCGGCCCTGGTCGACTGGTTGGACGCCTGCGCGGCGCAGGTGGCCGCCGAGGGCACGGCCCGTGGCGCCAAGGAGCGGCCGCCGCAGCC